ATAATGTACAGAGTAGCAGTAATAATACCAATACTACTACTACTACTACTACTACTATCACTAATATTGACAGCATCTAATATGAATATAAAAATAATAAGATAATTCTAATAATAATAATAATAACTATAAAGCCAAAGATAATCATAATAATGATGATAAAAAATAATACCAAAATGACCCCATACAGAATGTTTGAAAAGAAATAAACATTAAGGAAAATTCCCAGCCTTCCTAATACAGTGAAATTTTGTAATAAATCTATCATCATTCGTCTGTGAACTTAGCATATCGCGTAACACAAAAGTTAAAGTAACCTAGCTTTACTTCAATAATAAATAGTATGAGCATAAATGAAGTCCAAATTTCCTTCTGCGAGTAACCCTATTTATGAGTTATTTGTGCATGCTTTTCCACAATCTAATATTTCTAGGGTTTCGACTTGGATTATGTCATGTAGCTACATGTATTCACAGCATAATCCACACACACCCACACCCACACTGTATGTATGTATTCAGGTAAAACATACATACATACATACATACATACATACATACATACATATATATATATATATATATATATATATATATATATATATATATATATATTTGTTTTTTTATATATAGCTGAGTGTAAATATAAAATTTCCTTATGTAAGCTCATATTCATACACTGATTTCTAGAGAATTTCAAAACTTCCTGTGACCACTAAACTTTTTCTTTCATTCATACAAAATCTAAAACTCCATTTTCCCCTCTCTGCATATACATCAAAAATACTTATTTCTTTTGTCAATGCCTCTAAAAAGGAGTAAATAGGAAACCTAATTAAACAGGATCATATTCATCATGAAGCTTTGATATTACAGTCGGCTACATCTGCCGTTATCCCGCTATTGACAATTATACTGTTTTCGGTCAGCACTGCATTCTCCAACTTGCACTTCTTGTGCTCCACTACCCCACTGTCTCCATTATTGCTTGTCTCTTCCACCTTGTCGTTCTCAGCGGATTCCGATTCCCTCTTCTCCCCTTTCTCCCTTGCTTTGTTCGCCTCGTCAATCACATACTGGTACTTCCTGGCCCCATCAGCGGGCACAAAGCCATAGGTCTTGTTGACAACACCACGGGCATGGAGGCAGACCATGGCTGCCCCTTGTTCCGAGTATCTTCGGCTCTTCTCCCTGGATGGAAAGAGGAATTTTAATTGTGTTTTCCTCACTTTCATTTGTCTATTTGGATTTCTTTGATAAATGGGCAATACATTAAAAAAAAAAAAAAAACGCATGTTTCTGTGCATATATCTGTGTGCATCAGTATATGCCTGTGCTTCACATGCACTGAAATACTACAATCTATCTATTTATCTACACTTATATGTGTGCATCACAAAGCTTCCTTACTTGAGTGTTGATCTATATTTAATGCCATCAACAACTACTGATGCTGCGAAGAATTTGTCATAAACGATATGGCTGTATTTAGGTCCTGACAGCTGGTTGCGATATATATAGGTCTGAAATCCAGTAAAAAATTAAATATTAGAATATGTTTTACCATTGTACAGTATTTCATTGTATGATCTGTCGGCAATAAATCCTTAATAAGTTGAGACAAAAAATAAGAAAATAAAAATGAAAAGCTCTGCCATCCTTAAAATGAAATTACAAAAGAAAAAGTTTAACAGTAATTCCATTAATAAGGATACTGCTGTTGCTGCTGCTGCTGATGATGATAATGGTAACGATGATTATGGTGATGGTGATGGTGATGGTGATGGTGATGATGACGATGAAGATGACCAGGACAATGAAGATGACAATGATGATGATTATGCTGACAATAATAACAATGATAAAAATGCACGATTAACCCACATTCAGTAACATCTTCGGCAGATCTGCGTTGTTGTAATTCCCTCTTATGAACTGCACGGGCATCTCCACCACTTTCTGCCCTTCCTCTACCTTCTCCACAATGGACACGTGGTCTGCACTTGGGGGCATGGACACTTTGCCGCTCTCCCTTTCCACGTTGAGGGCAAGGCGGAGACGTGCCTGCTTTGCCTGCTCGGTCTTGTAATATTCCCCAAGGCCCCATATGACGCTGGGGATTTAGAAGAAAAATGTGTCATTTTGAGAAAACATGAATGAGGGTAAATTTTGCAGAGGAAACTAATAGTTGAAAGATGAATTTAAAGATACTTGCAATTAAGATGGAAAAAAATGATTTGTAATTAAAGTTAAAAGAAGACTGTATGCAAGGGAACTATTTTGTAATGCAAAAGATGTAAATCATGGATTGCCTTATGTTTTATGATGTTAAAAATTGTGAAACAGCCTTTTTTCTGGGTTAAATACATGCATCATGTTTTTATGATTTTATTGAATACTACAAGCTTGTACCAAACAAGTCAGTGTAATGAATACAAAATATCTTCTATAAATGATTAGAGAAGGTGGGGGGGGTGGGGGATCTGGAGTAATTATGATGGTTTCGTCAAAAAAAAAATCAGTAGGATACATAATATTGTGAAAAACCATGTGAGAGAAAACCATGAAGAGCTTCAATCCAGCAAAAGATAAAACACAGAATGGAAAGAAACTGGATAAGTGGGAAAACCATGAACAGAAGAAAAGAGAGAGAGAGAGAGGTAGAAAACAAAAAATGGAGATAGTAATGAAATGTGACAAAAGAGAAAACTGAACTTACCAGATTTCTTGCAAGGTTTGAGTTTCCAAGAAAGCTTTTCCTCTTAAGGTGTCTTGCTGATCCCTCAACATGTTCTGGACTGTGTATTTGCTATATGTAAAAGGGTTGTCATAGTCAGTGCAATATTTCAGGTAACTTGATATCTGAGAACAAAAGAAAAACATAATCAAACACAAAACTTAGAACTGAAGAAGCATGAAATTCTTATTATCAAACTACTGCAAGGACAATCTTTTGCTAACATTTTACTGGTTGGTATAGTTTAAACTTTACAGCCTGCATCACAATCACTTCTGTTGAATAACCAAAACAGCATCCATGCAAACCAGGGCATATAATTCTTTGATGTCCCTGTGACTGGAATAAAAACTATGGATCATGAGATCAGTGTCCACAAATTTTACTTTCTGCTTGCTTTATTATTTTAGACTCCTTGGAAAATGAGTAACCTTGGATGTATATTAATTTCTTAACAATAGCAAGGGGCTGTAACAGGAAGGCTTTTGGAGCTGGAAATTTTCCTTTGAATGTGCATACTTGAGACCTAATTCAATAAACAGTAATAACCTGAGAAAGCAACCTACCACAGTGTCCATGGGCAGATATCCCTCTGGCCTAAGGATTGAGCAGTTCCACATGGCAGCCCTCGCAATCATGACGCTGGCTGCTCCAGTCTCTTGGCGAAACTTTTCTATGTCCTCGTAGCATGAGATCTCCTTTGAACCACCACTGAAAAGAGGTGTGGGGTTTACTTACTATTCTTTCATTGATCTATCTATTTTTCAGGTTTCTCAAAAAAGATAGTGGGACTGAGGGAGGAGTGGATAGTGGGAAAGTGGTAGGGAAGAGTGAAGAGTGGAAGAGTGGGAATAAGAGGATAGGAAAAGGAAAAAGAAGGAAATGTCAATCGATTTTAAATGAAAACGAAACAGGAGTAATTGCCATCTCTATGTTTGTAACATAAAAAGATAATTTTGAAGTGACATCATACATTAGACTTCATGAACAGATTTACCTGAGTGACAGTCAAGTATAAAAGTTAACAATAGATTTACAACACAATAATGCACAACATGAAAAATAAATGAAAGAAAGAAAGAAAGAAAAAAATGTGTGTGTGTGTGTGTGTGTGTGTGTGTGTGTGTGTGTGTGTGTGTGTGTGTGTGTGTGTGTGTGTGTGTAATGCCTATAAACCTACTTTGCAATGACAGGAATGCTGAGTGCCTTAGCAATCTCCCTAATCTGGTCATTGTGGTTGGGATGGTTGGGCCTTTCCTCCTTGGTCCTCCCGTGGACAGCAAGAGCTGCCACCCCGCACTGCTCTATGGTCCTGCAGAGTGCCAGAGTGTCCTCCATGTTGTTCAGGAGGCGGATCTTGCATGTGACGGGAATGGACAGGCCTTGAACGAGAGTGGTGAGAATGCTCTTAACCTGTGAATGTTGGGTCAAGATTATTATCCTGGGAAGGTGGTGAAGGCAAAGGTGGTGAAGGTAGAAAGGGGGAAGTGGTGAGAGGAGTGGAGACAGGGGCAAGAACAGGAGGTAGAGGAAGAGAAGGGTAAATTGCACATTATCCCTGGTTCAAAGGTGGTAGTGGAAAGGAGGTGGAGGACTGGGTATATGAGTTGGAGGAAAGGGTGAGTAGGGAGAGGTAGAGGAGGAGGAGGAGGAGGAGGAGGAGGAGGAGGAGGAGGAGGAAGAGGAGGAGGAAGTGGGAGAGGAGGAGGAGGAGGAGGAGGAAGAGGGAGAGAAGGAGGAGGAGGAGGAGGAGGAGAAAGAAGTGACAATAATGAGAAGGTCAAAAGCAAGGAGAAAAAAAGAAAATAAATATGAAAAAGGGAATGGTTCAAATAATATCCTTCTATGTCTCACTTTCTCTTTCCTTTAAAATTTACAATATAACCACTACCCGATAACTATAAGTGTAGTAGGCCAATTAAGAAGGAAAAGGTAATGAAAATGTTTTAATAAGAGTACATAACAACACCAGGCCCTATTGTAGGGGTTTGGAACTAAATTATATTCTTTGTACAAGTTTATTTATCCTGTTATTATAATGTTATGTTTTATGAGTTTGTTAGCATTCAAAGGTGTGCTTCAACTGAGCTAATTGTGTGAATTATTATTAGTTTAATAACATATATGACCACACGGCCACAGCTGTGTGTTTTACATTGTCTTGTTTGCAGTTTTATGTATGAGTATTGACATAGGAGATATGGATGAACAGAAAGAAATTATATTTCATCAGTTATGGAGAATAAAAGAAGAAGCAACAAGGA